CAGAGCTCCCTCTGTTGCTGCAGTCCCCGTCGATCCCGGCCGCGACCCTCGCTGCCTCCTTCTCCACCGCCAACGCTGCGCTCCTGCCAGCGACCACCGCTGCTGCCAGTCACCGCAGCCTTCTCCTCAACTGCTCGTGATCCTTCCGGCCAACTCCTTCGGGCCGCCGATTGTAATCACCGTCGTCGCTCCCGGCCAACAACCAACCCCTCGTTCTGCAGCAGCCGCCCTCCAACAGTGAACGCAGCAACCGCAGCAAGTACGCTGCCTTGCCTCAACCCCGTTGCTCGGCGATCGCCCCTTGGGTCGCAGCAACTGCAACCACATCAACGCAGTCGCCTTCCAATCCCGGCGCTCTCACCTCACGCAGCGATAGAAACAGGGTAGCTACTCTTCCTCCAGTAGCACTGTCCTTGGTGTCCACCTCCTCGGCAACTTCGCATCGACAGTATTGATGCCCTTGACCGACACCAAAAACAGGAGTTGAGATTACAGATTTACAGTCTTACACAATGGCCACTGATAACTTGGTGAAAGCACAAATGAAAGCATTGGAAATCAAAATTGAGAACCGACTACAAGAAACACTTAATGATTTCAGAAAGAGCCTACTGGAGAGCCTTAGTAAATTTCAACAAGGTGGGAGCTCAAGTTCTACATTGCACAGATATGAAAATACAGGAAAAATGCCCCAAGATTATGACACAAATTATTCACACATGAAGATGGAATTTTCGATATGGAAAGATGGAGATCCGACCAATTGGATCTCTAAGGCAGAAATTTTTTTTGTTTTCACAGAACCCCAGAAGAATCCAAGGTAGAAGTGGCCTCAATCCAACTCGAGGGAGATGCACTCCAGTGGTACGATTGGTTTGAAACTTTTCACGGAGTTCCTTCGTGGGAGTAGTTCAAAAGAGGACTTCTTGTTCGCTTTGGCCCATCCGAATATGAGAATGTTGATTGCCAGCTTGCCAAAATTCATCAGACTTCTACAGTGTTAGAATATCAGAGTAGGTTTGAAAAATTATCAAATCAAGCTAGAGATTGGTCAGACCGACAACTTCTGGATACATTTATTGAAGGGCTTATTCCAGAGATCCGATGTGAAGTTAAGGCTCGTCAACCCCGCACTATGATAGCTGCGATCTCATTTGCAAATCTACATGAGAAAAAAATTGGCAAGGAAAGATCAGCAAGAGATTTGTACTATGATGAAAATTGGAGTATGGAACACCGATATAAACAAGGGAAACTTATCATGATTGAGCCATCACACATACAGTACATGCATTGGCTGGCTACACTAACCCACAAACTATGAAAATCGGAGGAACTTTGAAGCATCAATCTGTCACTATTTTGATTGATACAGATAGCACTAAGAATTTTATGGACAGGAAAGTTACAACCGAATTAGCCCACCACATTGAAGGCTGTGATATATTCGATGCTGATGGACGGATTTTAACTTATGATAACAAAGGCCAAGAATTTCTTGCAACGATTACTACATTGAAAAATCGACCTATTGCTCACACTATCAGAAAGTGGAGACCATACTTACTTGATCAACGGGTTGTGATGCGTTACAGATAGCCTATGACTGAAGTGCTAAAAGACAAGTTCCCCAAGATTGATGTTGCTCAGCCTTGAGGACAAGGCTGATTTGAAGAGGGAGGAACTGTTAGGAACCTTTTTATGAGCTTTTGAATAATGTTTATTGAGTCTGTTTAGTCTAGTTGTTTATTGAATCGATTTGGTTCAATTAAAGTCAAGTAGAGGTTTATTTAATATTTATTTATTATTAGAGTTCAAGTCTTGATGGACTCTGGGTGGAACTCTATAAATAGGGATGTAATTGCTTCTTTTTAGTAATCTATGAAAAATACTATTCTGTTTTTGGACAAACCCTAGGAGGCCGATCCCCTCGAAGTGATCAAGGAGGGCCGATCCCCTCGAAGCGATCAAGGAGGGTCGATCCCCTCGAAGCGATCAAGGAGGCCGATCCCCTCGAAGCGATCATTATCATCCTCATTTCTCCCTTTTCTTCCACGATAAGACTCTCATTTCTCCCCTTTCTTCCAGATAAGACTTTAGGGTCTTATCATTTGGTATCAGAGCCTACGATAAGACTTTAGGATCTTATCAGCATGCTGCTCTTTCTATGTTCCCAATCCATTCCAAGGATATCTCAACAGCCATATCAGCATTGCATCAACAATGAATCTGGCACATGGATCTACTGGTATCAGCACTTGCAATCCATTCCATATGAAGTCCTAGCAGCATCTTTTGGTGGCAAGGTGAATGAGTCCTGGAACAATGATGGTTGTATATTTCTCTGACATGTTGATCTGGTTGGATTTAGCTTTATTGGTTGTCACTTGATTTGCCAACACACTGCATCTTTCTTGTGTCTCAATCCTTCTTTTTTGTGTGATTACCTGTTCTTTATCCAATCAAATTGATTGGCAAGTACAGAAGGATCATAAAATTGATTAGAGTTTCATGTTTCTGAACTTTGCTGATCAATCTTTACAAGGACACACACACAGTCTCACTCTTGTCTCTCTGACAATGACACCTCAATTCTCCATCTTGCATGAATCCAGAACCACATAAACCTCTTTCTCTTTCTCGTCGTTAGCACAGCTCAGCTCGCAGCTTCTGCGATGCTCTGCAGAGAAGGACGCCACTGTCGGGCCCTCGCTGCCATCTGCATGCCGCTCCTTTGCCGATCCCTCTCCTGCTTCGCCACCTGCCTCACCACGTGAACACAGAAAGCATTGAGAACAGAGCTGATCCTCCTGCTCTGTCGAATCCGAACTCGGCAAAGAACAGAAGGTAATCTACCTGATCGTTTGTTCTGTGCTGCTGGCACTTGTTAAGCTTCTCCTGCTTCCTCGCCCTCAGAGCCATGGTGACCTCTGTCCGAGAAAGGATCAGCGGACGTTCACTGTCAGGCCAAATCAGAAGGCTAAGCAAGCGAGCAGGGATTACAAGGAGCGGATTGGAACCTTGGGAGGTGACCAGCCGATACACTTGGCCGAGCAAGAGCACGTCCTTGGGCTTAAGCAGCCTCACGCGCGTCAACCGGACGACGCCGCCGCCGTCCCCCCGCTCCTCGGAGACGCAGAGCGTGACGAGGGCCACGTGGTAGCCCGGGTTGCTCTTCATCACGTCCGCGGCGCTCATCGGCCAGTAAAGCTGCTCCTCCCTCCCACCCGGGTGCTGAATCACCACCGCCTCCGGTGCTTGGCAGTTCCCCATCCTTCTCCTCTCTTCACAGGAACGAAAAGAGGAAGTGGGATGATGAGAAGAGGCGAGTCTCAAAACACAGGAATATATAGTGCAGTGGCAGCAGCACACAGAGGCATCATCTCCTGCAGGTGGCAGCAGCACACACAGGCGCGAGATTCTTCCTGTCATGAGGGGCCACATTACCAAGAAGAACATAAGACGGTGAAACACTGATAGAGAAGTAACCTCGTCGCTTTCTTCTCCTCACCAGCGCATGGAATGGGACTTGGGGTGTTCTTGAGGGGGCAAAAGCTACACCCTCCTCTGTGATCACACCCTCCTGTTGCCTAAAGGGAGATTGCTTCCTGTCCTTGTTCTTGTTCTTTTGGTGATGCCTCTGGGCACCAGGCAGCGGTCAGTCTCTGCTGGTTGTTGCCCTTATCACTCACTACTGTCTGCAAGAAACATAAGCCCATTACCTTCATTGTTTGTTGACGATCCAAAGGTGCCTATCTCTTCCACAAAGTTTATGTTAATCTAGGGAGCAGGATAGAGATATCCTAAGCATACTTCAAATGGATTCACCTTTTTGGGAACCCTTTAGGCATAATTGTCGTCTTGGGGAGAACAAGGTCAGTTGCCAATGTCATCTTGTTCCTCGTATCTTCCAAAGTGGGCAAGAACAGAGTTCAGATCATGTTTGGGCCCACTTGAACAAGAAGCAGGATTGTTGAATCCCACAAAGCACTGGAATGAATTGAAGGTAATTCTGTATTGAATGATCCTATGCTGTAAGAATCCGATTTGATGAGATAATTGATCTGTTAACTTCATTGAATCTAAATCATTGATCCAAGATGTCAGATCATGTGTTTCTCCTTAAACACTCTGCTTGTTATGAACAAAGGAAGAGGATGGAGATCTAAGAAAAGATGGAGTGCTTTGAATCACAAGAGTACAATTGGTGCAATGTGGATCTCCATCTGTGGCAACCACCACTGGGAGAAATGGAGGAGATGATGTGGTTGAGAGATTATGGTGGGATGCATGCAGAAGTTTCTCCTTGGTATAAAAGACTACATTGTTATTTTGCACATGAATTGTAGCAAGAAGGCTCTTCTTTTTTACTCTGGTAAAAGTCAAACTGTGGATGGCTTCTACCCACAGAGACTTTGAACTCTGTGTTGCAAAGTTTGATAATAGAATGTTTACACTTCAAATTCTGTACATCTTTCCAAACAAAATCTAGTCAACCCACAACAGTTACTGATGACTAGTTTTGATTTAGTAGGAGAGTGAAAAATATAAACAGAGTGTTACTAAAATCACTTGGGGAAGTCAATAATGAACAATCAAAATCACTTGCCAAATGCTGTAAGATTCAGATGAAGCTTGACAGCCACAAGAAAGAAAGAAAGATCATGGAGGAGATTGGATGAAAGAAAACAGAAAAAGAGAAAAAGAAATGATGTATAGCAGACTATAATTCTGAGATTTCTTTATTTACCTCCACTTGAATCCAAAATAACAGATGATTCTGATTGATTAATCCAGAATTAGTAAGACTCCTTATTCAACTTGAAGAGTTGTGGACAGTTTAGATAGGTTTTATTAGTTCTATGATACTGAACAGTAATAGAAGACATTCAAAGTAGGTTTGCATGCCATTATATTGAAACATCTTCATGAAAGCAAAAAGAAAAAGGCAAAGATTCTGATCCACAGAAACATATGAAAGACTAATTCAGCAGTTCATACATAGCAAATATGAGTAGTTATCTGTAAAATTTGGCATGAACATTCAAGATCAACTGGTATGCTGAAGAAAGCCTCACCATAACAGACAGTGAAATTGATATATTTTAAGAACTTGCAAAAGAAATCCACAATGCAGTCAAAAATAAAACCTGCCAATAACAACTAGTAAGACGATCTTAAGGAGAAGTACCTTCACCTCCAATTTAACATTAATCACAGTTTCAAACAAAACTAAAATATCATCATTGAGAAGCAAAACAACAAACTAAATAAATAGGAAAACATGTTTTGCAAGCCACAAATAAACAAAAATCAGATATCAACAGTAACAAGTAAATGAAACAGCCTATATCAAATGCAAACAATCCATTCTGTTTGATATATGGGATGTCCATTTTTTACGGACATGTTCTAGCAATATTGGATGTAATGGATTAGATCACCTTGTTACGTAGCCTGCCAAATTATGGGATCAAGAGCTTAAGAACTGCTAAAAAGACCTTTTTTAGTCTAACACGATTTCCAGGGTAAAAACTTGGAGAAATTCAAACTGTTTCATTAACTGAAAATGACATATCAAACTCCTTTCTACATTGTTGAAAGAACCTTATGTTACAACATTCACTTACAAGATTTGGAATTGTTATGATGAGTTGATAACCATCCAAATGAATTCAACTTTATCTTTTTACTGTAATCACCACCAGGAATCAAGACAGGAAAGTACAACAAGCAAATCACATAACACACATGAATTTATGTGGTCATGCACCAGCTTCATGGAGCCCCCTGCAAAAAGTTCTTTCACCATATTAATGAAATCTGAATACAGTGCTTGATGTAGTTTTTTTGTCCTCCAAACATGTTTTACATATTAAAAACCCAAAATCTGCAATATGGAAATGCCTTGGGCTCATAGATTTATGGTGAACATCTGACTATAAGTTACCTAAAATTTGCACATTTTTCCGAAGTAGTAAAAATTCCATGGAAATCATTACTTTAACCAGCTTAAAATTAGATGTTAGAAAATTAGATAGTACTACCAAAAGCCCAAAAGGTAAACATCATGATAGAAAAGCAAACATACAAGTGATTTAATTTTAATGTGCTTGTTTTCTGACATGAAACACAAATTTCAGTCACATATCGTGACTTCCCATAGAGTCGGAGGATCACTAGACTGGATCCAAGGTCATGAAACAGAGATTGCAAGCATTCCAAACCAACTAGGATACTTGACAGCATTTCAATGACCCTCCCGAGGAATATGTGAAATTAAATAAATATGGTATACTATCATATGCAGATATTTTATACTTGGGTTCCCCACTTCATATGTAAGACCATGAACTTGCCATGGACAATTCCTTTAACAATGATATAATCCAGTTCGATTAGCAAATGGGCTATAATGATTAGACTTTGACAAACCTGATCTAGTCGCAATTGCCATTGCAAAACAACAAATTTTGGCGAGAGAACAAATTGGGGCTTGACGATCTTGTAGTGACAATGAGGAACACCAAGAGAAGAATTGAAATAAAAGAAGGCAGCTGATTGTGAAAGTACATTGCAAAACAATAAATTTTGGCAAGGGCACAAATTGGGGACTTGATGATCTTGTAGTGAGAATGAGGAACACCAAGAGAAGACTAGGAAAAAAAAAAGGAAGATGATTGTGAAAGTATAATTTATAGCCTAAGAGGAGCATATGCCACAATTCTTTTCTTTTTTTTCTTTTTTGTTTTCATGGAAAGAATAATTCCTAAAAATACAGCCAAAATGGTCAAACAGATTTACAATCAGAGCATGATATAGTTCCAAAAATTAATTATGAATATGGTTGCAAGATAATTATGAATATGCTATTTAGTATTGCTATATTTCCAAAGAATGACTTGATTTTCTTTATACAAATTAGAAATAACTTTTATGAATCTCATATTCAAGGATCTCAACATGCTTTTGTTTGTGTCCTTGAGTAGTGATTATCAATTATTTGCCTAAAAAAATATAAACTATTTATTCCATAAGATGAATGATTTCATTACAATCCAATAGAGAGTTCATCAAGATGAAATTCTGCAGTATGCTGCAAACACTGAAGAACACCAAGAAAACTGAAATTTGATATATGTAAGTTTCAGAATTCTTGAATTCCAGTATGCTTCATCAATCTGTGATCTTAATTCTTAACACAGCACTGTATGATCGCGTCCACCTAAAGGCCCTAAACCAATTCAAAATTATGTGAAGCACCCAAAAGACACTAACCTGAATATCATCGAAAATTTGAGGATTGTCAAGATGAAATATTGAGAGTAAGATGAAAATCCCATACTAGTTCAATATGACAGTGAATAAAACATATAATCACTGATCTAATTTAGGCTTCAAGTTCAATAACTTCTTCTTATAATATAAAGTTAAATATTAATCAAGCATGGAGAGGTTGTGAAATTGAAATTTAGGAAGTACAATACAAAGCCAAACAAGTTTAACATAATACTACTAACAAAAGCGAAATCACTGTTCTACTTTACGCTTAAAGGTCAATAGGTTACTAGCTTGTCTCTACCACATGAAGAAAAGACTTTGACATCGCAATGCAATCGTATACACTTATGTACCTCAAGCTTCAGAACGGCTGCCGAGAGGGAAGGAGAAGATCTCCCGAAGCCGATGTCCATGGCATACCCTGAGACGGGGAGCTTGAGATCCCGGAGAACGGAGCAATGGAGCAATGGGGCACCCAGGAATCGGGGGGGAACTCCTCCGGAGGCTCCACGCCTTCCTTCCGGGCCGCGTCGCATAGCTGGGAGTGGACGTGGAGGAGGGCGCCGGAGGGGGTGGGGGCGAGGAAGAGAATGCTGCCGTCGGCGGCGGACGAGGAAGGGAAGGCGCCGATGGAGGAGAGGGCGAGAGGGAGGGGGTCGAGTCGGCCGCCTTCTTCATATTTAATCACATAACATGGCGTACTGCAGTCAAAAGAAACCTTATCAATAATGACAAGATCAACATTGTTCATCCATAGGATTTGAGCTTCACTAATGGAGACCTCAACAATACCTGATCGAAAGATCTCTAATCACGAGTGCACTTTGATCCGGAAATAAAGAGAAGACCGGTGAAGCAGAAGGCAGTTGGTAAGCCTTTTAACTGACAGGAGCGCAGGCGACAGCTATATGTACACAGCCTCATCTTGGTTTCTTCCCATAGCGATCCTCATCTTTCTCCAAGACTGAAGCGGAAGTGGAGGTGAAATCCTCCCCGGACAAGTTCTGGGACGCCATCCGTGGCTCCACCGACCTCTTCCCCAACATCTTCCCTGAGCAGTACCAGTCCATCGAAGTCGTCCAAGGCGACGGCAAGAGCGCTGGTTCCATCCGCCTCTTCAAATACGCCCAAGGTGAAGTGGTACATGGAGTACGTGAAGGTGAACGAAGAGATCCCTGAACCGGACATCACCAATGAGACCGCCGTGGCCACCTTCTATGGCTCGGATGCCTACCAAACAAAGAACTTAAAAGAGTAAGGAATACATGAAATCTCATCCATCCGAACCACACATCAAGACCAGTAAGTACATCAATGGAGTCGTATGTATCATTTGCTAGTTCATGAAACAAACATCCAAATTGAGCATACCACAGTTGAACCATCAAACTTTGGTTTCTTGTATGCAACCCGACATAACAGGGAGAAATCGGATGAATATTAATGAACGTAGTCAATGTTCAACAACAGCACACTTGTTGAACAACAGATTTTTCAGAACCAAAGCATCTAAGAGAAAAAAATGATCAGTACGGTTTTCCATAATACAACTTGGCATATCTCACAGACTGCATATTGTAAGGATTGATCCTCCTGGTTCTTTCATATGAATAATCATTATAATTTGTAGAATGCCGAAACCATGGGAATTCTCTCATGCTACACTGTCGAGATCCAGCGAGTGGGTGAACGCAGCATTTGGGTCAGAACATTACAGAGATTTTAGGAGCACTGAATAGCCAAGCAGATGCATAGTGTGAGGAGTGACTGAGGCCATAATTATGCCATATGGTTCTCTTTCTCATCAGATGCTTTTCGCATCCGAACTGGTGATCTTGGTGGAATGATGCCTCTGACTTCTTTGTTGCCGTTAACAGATTCACCAGCTCTGGCAGAATTCCTGTTCCCCAATGGAGGATGATTGTTCTCCGGGTGCGTAGAATCCATTGCTCGAGGTAGTCTTAGAGGTACATCCTCCCTAGACCTTGAAGCTTCATTGTCTTGTGGGAAGGAAGATTGAAGTGGTTCAGTTAGAACAAGCTGAATTGTAGATTTACGCCATTTCTTCCTCCGGCCTTGTTTGGCTGCATTTGGGTTGATCTGGTTCATAGCATATAAGTTAGTACTTGGCTATCTAAGCAACCAAATCTGCAACAAAAATAGTCATGAATGACAATCTAGGGTTCAGAGGGCATTAAGCCTGACCACAAAAATTTGCAAATCACATTGCATCGAATCATATAATCCAAAAATGGTACAAAAATTAAAAAGTTTTATTTTGTAAATGATATGTGGTGAAAGCAGGATTTGAGCCTAGAACTTTATGATAGACTATCAAAGTATTTACCAGTTAAGCTGGCTAACATCTTCAAAAATTATATCGGATAAGGTTTCGAACTCTCAACCTTTGATAAAAGAATTAGTACAAAATACAGTTTTTAGCACAATAAAATCAAATGAATTTAGACACATTTAGGCCGAGTTCAGCCAAGTAACTAGTACGAGTAATTAGAAAGCCTACAAAAACAAGTTTAAATGGAATATAAAAAAAAAGTACTATCCAAGAATTTCTATTATCTGATGAAAGATAAAAAAACAAAAATCTGAAGAGTGACAAATCTTGTTATTCTCTTGTCAAGCAAAGCTCATACAACATTAAAACCAAACAAAATGTGGAATTTTCTTGTAGCAGAGATGGCAGCTACAAGTGTTAATCCTCCACATCTTAGTGTCCTGGTTATCAGACACATTGAAAGCAATTGAACAGAGAAAAATTTCCCACAACCTAACACAGGTATAGATTAATGTCAATAAACATACAGCTAGACATTTAAACTTCCAACATAATTAAATATTTAGATGCATATACTCTTAACAGAAGATAGTAGATGAAAGCTCATTTTTTTAACTAAGAGCAGAAATAAGCCCTTGCACAAAATAGCAAGTAGAGTAATATTAATTATATTCTAGCACTACATGGTTATTGGTTACTAGCCATCAAATTAAAAGAAAAGAAACAAAAAAGGAAATTCAGACGTACCACATTATTGCCAATATCAGACAAGGGCTTTCTTGATTTTACATTTTTCTCTTCGGTTGTATTCTTGCTCAGTGCACTTTGCAGCAGTAGTGTTCCTTCAGACACCAATTTGCTAGTGTCATCATCGACATGATCAAATGAAGAAAGACTACCACCACTTTCTGCTGCTTCCGAGTTGGATATTTCATCCATATCACTATTGATCAACCCACCTTCTCTGTTAGAACACTTTGAAGGAACGCATCCACAATAGGTGCTGCACACACTACCGAGAGCTCGACACTCACATCTCTTAGTTTTACAGGATGAAACCCGAGAACAGGAACAACAATGTTCAAACCCAACCTTTTCAACCTTGATCTTTCCCTCTTCATTTGGCTTCTCTGACAAGTTCCCTACAGGAATATTATCTTCCAAAGTAGACTTTCTATTTTGATAGTTTTGAAATTGCTTCTTTCTGATCTTCTTTCGAGATTCTATCCAATCTTCATCAGCGACATCAGATTCAAACTCCTCTGATGCTTCAGCATCTGTCTCAAACACATCTGACATCTCAGTGTCTGATATATCCATATCATCCAGATTATTGACACCATGACCAGAGTACCGGATGCTTTGTGGATTCTATGCCAAATAAGATATTGATTAGGCAAAATTTATGTTAAAAAATGAATACTCGGATCAGATAGTTAAGTTAAAGGTGAAAGATAGTTAAAGTAAAAGAATATGCTCTTAGGAATCATGAAATCATGTAAATCATTCTTTTGATGTCTCATGGAAATGGGACATAAGAACAAAATAGTTTTTAAGATGAAACAAAATATCTCTCAATTCCAAGTCAAAAATATTCTTTCTTCTGTTTTTCAAATAAATGTTCTTGTCTTAAGAAGTAGAAATTTCTACTAGACTGAATATGCATAAAAATAATTACAAAAATAATAGTGGAGAAAGACATGAATGTCAAATTCATTATGCAACATAAGTGGTCTTTAACTAATTTGAATTTAATTGACAACAGAATTAATAATTTTTGAGAACCACTCAGTACAGTAAATGGAACTTGTTAATACTAATAACAGTTGTGAACAGTAATGCCAGTCAAGTAAATTTAGACAGCTTGATCATTACCAACATTAATAAGCATCATGTCTTTTGAGAAAATTGGGAAAACATAGCAACACCATGTAGCAACTATTGATAGCTGATTTGTAGAAGGTACCTTATGTATAACATCAGAAAGCTTGTCTTCCTTGGAGACACCTATGTCAGTTCCAGAAATTCCAGTAGTTTTCTTCACATTCTTAATAGATAATATCTGTTTAAATGTTAAAATGAAAATGCCATTAGACAAAGAGACAATCCATAAAATACATAAGTCATGTGAATACAAAAAGACCATTTGCAATTAAACAACCCAAATTATAAAATGAAGAAAAAATTATTTGATGATTCAAGGTTACATGGTCAAGATGTTGAATTAACTATGCCTAGTAAGACATCCCTGGTTTCATGATTAGAAAGTGAAGGCATGAGCAAGGTTATGACCATCGAGCTGCAGGTTCCTTGGAGAAACAATTTGGAGATGTGTAATAGAAAATAAAATAAGCATCCAGAATGCTAGTACCTTCGCCTATAAGAAGAACCCTATTAAAATTTTAACTGAAGGAAGGCAAAAAAAAACAGAATATTTTTTTTGCATATGAGTACACAACAACATTTTTGAATGCTTGCTACAGTTGTAATCAGGCTAAAGCTGATGATATCTTATGGCTAACTAATCTGCGTTTACACCATTTGTTCTTAAGCTATGGGACAAATTTGATTGGTTCCTGTCAATTGTCCCCCTTAGCTTTAAATTAGATTCAATCAAGTTCCACTGTCAAATTTCATTTATAACGACAGAGTGGCCTGGTCATATAGTAAGGAAAAAAAGTTGATTGAATCATAAAATGGCCTGGTCATACAGAAAGTAACTTCTTTGTAACTCTTCTCAAGTTAAACTGGAAATTTTAAAACTAATGGACAAAGGAAAGGAAAAAGAACCTAAATGCAAACAAGAATAATTTAATTCAGAATTATTAGTTCTCAATAGAAAACCAAAATATGAAAACTAATTAACCTGCATATTTTGGTTATGTGCTGCCAGCAGTTGTTCTTCCAATTGTCTCTTCAAGATATTAAGTTTGACCACCTTGTCCTTTAGTTCAGCTACTTCAGAATCCTTCTCTCTGCAACTGACCTCCTTATCACGCAATTCACACCTACAAGATCGTAGCAATTCAAATTTTCCTCTAAGAAGAAAAAAAATTATGCTTCGAACTCTTATTATGTTATGCAGATTACAAATCAATGTGCCAGAGAACCTTGCATACCTAGAGGATGATGCCAAGTTAAACAAATAATTCATTAGATTCTTAGCATCGGCAAGTGATCTGACTTGATTCCATCGTCCTTTACCACTAAAAACACGTTCACGCTCCTCAGCTTCTGACAATTGTGAGGCCATTGAAACCAGAGCAGTAGATGAAGTTTTTAACATGTTTTCAAGTGCTACAATCCTTGAATCTCGAGCACTTGGAGACATTGTCTGAGGACTATCACTAATATTAAACAATTAGTCAGGTCAAAATTCATGTATACAAAACAAAGAAATATAAGCACAAAGCAATGAACAACTATAGAGAACAAACCTTATTATTTTCTGCTTAAGCGTTTCAGATTCTTCCTTTAGCTTTGCTACCTCTTTAGCCATGGCAGCTCTTCTGAACATAGGAAAAAGAAATAATAAATGATATAAGTGATCAAAAAGCACATCTTACGAACCCACTTTTCTGTTAGCGATCAAATTTTCTGTATAAATTTTAAAGTATACAGAGTATGTTGCACATGAACAACTCCTATAAATGATTTCTTGCAATTGAGTCGTATTGTGCTGTAGGAGATGACTCTTAAAATTGATGTCAACTGATCCTGAAGTTTTGCAGATCTTTTGTAAAGCTTCTCAGCCTTAACTCTACAGCAGATCCATGTTGATGCAAAAAGGCATTGCAAGGAAAGACCTCTTAAGGAATCTATGGTCCATTGAATGGATGTACTAGTAATTTCAGAAAGATAATATCCCATAGCTTCTTTTCATCCAATATCCCAAGTAACCTACCCATCATCAAGAAAAGAATTTTTATGTAATATGCCTATTGGTGTATTCTGAGCATGGGCATCTGCCAACTGTGTACCCAGTCTGTATATTGCAAATGCTACATAGTATGCTAGCAAACCATGCAATGTCATGAGATATGGTCATCAATGCTTTATCGAAATAACTTGCAATGCTCAAATATAAGGACCACAAGCTTGGAATGTTCTCAAGTTCAAAAGTGTGGTAATGTAGCCCCACTCTTCGCTTTCAAGTTTCTTCTATCCAATTAAAAGACAACTGTTTACACAAATGTCAGGCATTCAATTACTAAGTGATAATGATTCTTTCTAGACTACCTGAATTCTATATACTAACCGGACCATTAGATGACACTAGAGTTCGGTGAGGTCTTCTTATATGATTAGTGAGTCAACAGAGCTGGACATTTCAACTAACTGGAAAGGATATTGATTTCCTGTGAACCACTAAAAGTGTCAGTCTGCTGAACCCAGTTGCAGCACATTTTGGCTGTTTCTGTCAAACAGGCATTTATTCTGCTGGTAGTCAGTATGAGCAAACCCACTTTGTTTAGATCAGTATCTTACATATTTTTGCATCTAATTTATACAGCCCTCTAATGGGGCCCCATAATAGAATCACAAGTCCTGGTTATAGTTTTGAAACTAAAGGCAAGTAAACATTCTAAATAAATGAAGCATTGCAGTTTATCTATTCTATAGCCTAGCAATGATGCAGAGATAGAATGAACAGAAAAAAGATAAACAAGAAGAGATTAGCTCTTACTCTTTCATTTGTCTCTCATACTCCGATCTAACTTCATGTACTCTTAGGGTTACTTCAAGTTCATGCTCTATAGCATGCACCAATACCTTCAATTTAACGGGGGTTCATTAATCAAAAAGTGAATAGAAAACCAAATTACTGTGATTAAGAGAGTTCACAGTGTAGTTAAAGAGATAATCAATTTTCCATTAAAAAAAGAACTGCTAATTCCATTCTAGTACCTGAATGCCAGGGCCATTTGCATTGCCAATAGCTGAGTATAATCATGAACAGAGTTTAGTAAAAAAAAAGTGGATTATGTGATTACTAATATCAATTCACATATGGTTAACTTACCAGATGCCTCACGAGTAGACTTCTTCGCTTCTAGTAGCTCCTTCAGTCTTTTGGTGGCCAAAGCAGCTTCTTCAGTCTTCCGCTGCAAGACCTTCAAGCAGAACCAAGTGATATGGTAAATTTAGATTATGTTAGAAGGAACCAAATTAAGGACCTCTTCAAAAGGTGCATTTTTACCATCTTTTGCCTCTGATTCAAAGCCAAGAGCTTGTGCATTTCATATTCATTCCTTCGGCCTTCTTTCTTGAGCTAGTTAAAGAAGGTATTCGATTTAATCAGCAAAACATTGTCTGGCAGTGGATTTAGGAACGAATAAATTAACAGCACTCGATTTATATAAATAAAAAGAATATTATTACTGTTGTTAATCAACAAGACATAGCAACCAAATGATGCAATGTGAAAGGTAACAAAACTAGCTGATACATACTGTCAAACAAGAAGAGGATACAATATTTTTAGTTTGAGGAAATCCAAAGGCATTTTCTTTATCATCAATGAGAAAAATACAACTAAATCCATGACAACTAATCAGCATTTCCCAATGTAGGAATCACAATACAGATCATGTTTCTTGTCCTATCTAATGGGGTTCACCACCAAGTAAGATGGTCTCTAATAAATATTGAAGGTACTAGAACAGCATGTGTATGGTGACTATATGTCTTCACCATTCTCATAGGATAATCGTGTAAAGTCAAATCATCATTAACCACAGAATGAGCAAGAGTGAGAACAAAATTTTGGAGAATGTGCTCCAAATTTTCAGACACAAGTTCTGCCACTCATCTATGGTATTCCAATTTGATTTGAGCACTTCCTTCAGTAATCATATCATACATGTCCAAGTTCATCAAAAGGACCAGCAACCATCAGCTTCCTCCAGACATGTAAAATTTACTCCGTAGCTGGAATAATTAGAAACCAGATTCCAAAGTAGTAAAAAAGAGCGGTGAAAAATAGACAGTTGCTCAATTTCCTGAGCAGCAATTAATCAAGCCAATAAGGCACTTAGACATTGTACATATATTGAATTATGAGCATCTTTAATCCATTAATGGCTTAGTAACAGCTATTTGTACCCAAATAATACAAAGATATCTTGACTCCTCATGTTTTCCATCCAGTCTATAACATCTGACAACAGAAATCAGATGACTAAGAAAAGGTAGATCTGCTCAACAACCACAAATAATTTAAAGACTTTTTTCTTTTTCCGGTTACTGAAGTACTATTCTTCACACCTTTCCATTGGCTTTTTTGCCTGCACTGAGATTGGTAAACTGGCAACTGTCATTATTCTATTCCTCTGTTGTTGCTGATAATTTCTAATGCATCAACTGCTTGTTTACATCTTTTTATTGATGCTACATTGGATGTAGAAGCTAGATGACCTTAATGACACCTTAAGTAAAACAGCATTAAAATTTCTCATGGCTGAAGGTCTGATTCCAATTCATAAAGCTAGTGATTTACTCACAAGAATCTTGAAGCCAAAAAAGATCCAATCAGCAAAAGCAACCAAATTAACTGTTGGAATTTGATGATCAAGGTTTACAGTATAAAATTGTCAACTATTAGAATCCTTAATTAGCATGTGTGACACTAACCCAATATTTATCATACACCTTTTCTCCAATCTATATAATCCACTATAAAATATGTGATCTGAAGAGCATTTCCATCAAAGAACAGAATTATTTAGGAGTAAGAGCATATGATACACTTTCAAGAGCTGGTCATGCAGCTGCATGTAATCAATTTATGGAACAATAGTGTCAAGCTATTACCAATTAGTGTACTACAGAACCAAGATGTGCAATTGATAAGCAGGAGGATAACTGTTTTCTTTTCATCAACTGAGTAAAATACATAAAATCCTGCACAAGATACACTAGACATCTAAATATTAACCAACTAGGCCTTTTTACGAGCATCTCTATATAATTTTTATTTGTAAGTTTGATAAAAAGCAGATAAAAAAAGGAAACAAGTCCAACATAAATCAAGGCATAGGAAAGAAAACTAGTGCTGATGAAGCAGATTGAAACTGTTCCAGCTCTTTTATCTAATTGAACTTAACAATAGGGAGGATGTTTACCATAGATGGCAATCTAACAAAAGCAAAGCTAATTGGACATCACATGGGTTTATTCAGAGTTCACAACATGTCATTCTGCTCATGGGTGGGTAAAATTAGGCATTTGAAGAGTTACGTTGTACAACATGAAAACAAAAGTACTGCAGTTCATAACTCAAACAAAAGTCTTGCAACTATATTAAAGCAATTTATTGTAGACCATGTGTTTCTGTTTGCAGGAAGCAAATAAATTACACCAGAATAAGCTGCCTAGCAAACCAATCAAATCCAGCTCAACAAGACTAGAGATAAGATAAACATCATTGAAATTTTTGTGTGATCACAGTACTCAAAATACCTGCAGAACTTCCTTTTCACGTGAAACCTTCCAAGATCTGAATTGTTCAGATTCTTGCTTCATTTTATGTTGCAATTGAACCTATGCATAGATTAAAAGATAGCAATTAATTGACTTGGAATACTTGTGGATGGCATACTGATATGATACAGACCTTCTGAGACTTTATCCTCTGAATTTCTTCCTGTAATCGTTTAGCTGCTTCATCACTTTTTTGTTTTTGCCTCAACAATTGAGCTTGTGCCTCTTGCTTCTTCTTCAACTCAGATACCTTAAAAGGAGCAATTATATTAGTTCACGAGGCACTGACTAATAATTGTGTGTGAAACTAATTTCCCATTAACAAACCTGAGTTTCAAGCATGTTCAACTTTTGAAGATAATCTTCCCTTAGCTTCTGGGCACTCTCATCAGTGGTAGATGACATGTTTGAAAGGTTAAAACGAAGATGTTCAATCTCTTTCTGGAATTGCAGAAAGATAGTTTAGAAAAGAAAAAAAACCTCAGTGGATTAAAAAATAGAATTTTACCGTCAATAATTTCTTTTCCTGCTCGAGCTCCAGTAATTTCTTTTCATAATGCTGCTTCAGAACAGTTGTATCAACCCTTGTAAACTGCTTCATCTCCGCCTTCAATAACAAAAATGAAAGAAGTTTGAGATAAAAAGACTACCCCTAGCAACATTGCAAAGCAAACATTGAACACGATATTGTAAAATGTATTTGAATCAAAGCACCATCATAAAATGCAAATATATTTCATCATCAGTAAACTAGATTTAAAGCATAGAAGATATGAAAGGCCTTCTTGATTATGATGGTAAATTTGATCATTGTCAATTATTTTAAAGTTGGCAACTTGGTATGTAAGTAAAAGATTCTTTTCCTTGGGATGTAATGTGAAAGGTTTTAGTTCTATTATTTTCATTCAAAAATATTGGCAATGAGCAAGGAGGTTTATTTCCCAGAAACTTCACTGACATTGTCTTTCTACTGAACAGGAAACTTCATCTTCCAAAGAATTTATACTGAGCAGCATAATGGAAATATATGACGTAACATCCTGAAGTTCATGAACAAATTAAACAACCATCAACCTCAACAATTACAAGTTAGGTACCTCCTTTTGCTCAAGCCGTTTGTCCAACTCCTGAATCTCCTTGTCAAGTTGATCTTGTAACATAGAGTGTTCCCTCTCCTTTTCTTCTTCTTCTGCTTCAACTGGAGCATTTATAAATGAAATAAGTTTTATTGAATTAATAGATCTGGAACAAATAATATCAGCTAATCAATATTTTATAAGAAAATATCCTTCTATATCTCAATATTTTAACAAAGGCAATTATAACAGTTTTAAACAATTATAGCAGTTTTATAAGAAAATATTCTCCCCTCTCGGACTTCTCTCCCTCTTTCTCTTAGGTCCATGCTGACTAGTATACCAACATACTATGTGTTGGTACACCGATAAATGCCAGACCTATATTGGTTTAGCTAAGGACTGGTACGGGTCTCAGACTGAAACTTGAACTTAAGATTTTGGTCGTAAAAGTAATTGAGCTGCTGCTTCAACAAATAATTCTAGCATTTTCTCCTCAATACATGGAATAGAAGAACACACAAAAGTAGACCTGATCCTAATGGAACTAAAATTTAAACACACAAGGAAAACAAGGATCTCATTAGTTTAATGTCATCTGAAAGCTAGAAAACATAATTGTTTCACAATCATAAAGATTGTAGCAAGGTTAGATAAATGGGCAAATATTCACTAGCTTCAAATTTTTGTATGATATCATACCAATCATAGATCCTTCCTTTAGGATACCATGATGGCAAAGGACAGGTTTTTATTTGATTAACTAGTTTAGGTGCCATGATACACATGAGAAGTATGTAGGCAATCATTATATAAGTCTTCTTGTTGGAACTTGATGCTATCATGTCTAAGATTAAAAAGAAATGTCCAAGAGTGACACTCAATTACTCACTGGAAACATCAAGAGTCTTCTCATCACAACCTGAAGCCATATCATCTATATCAGCATCAATAGTAAGATTTCTGCAGGGATGAGAAAAGCTTTGAACTCGCAGCAACTCTGCTTCCAACTCTTGAATTTTTGATATGTAACCTTTTACAAGATCCAATTCCTGTAGAAGCACATTTAACAACAAGATAGACTTGAGCAGGAGAGCAAGTGTCAATCACTCAAGGGTACTTGCATTCTGTACCTTATTTTTTTCCATTTTATCGATCTCATCCCAAGATTTTCCACCACGAGCTGATTCAATCTTCAAAGTCAGCTTGTCCTTCTCTACCTGGAAAATTGTGAACCATTCCATAAGATTGAAGAAAATCAACACCTGAACTTATAAACCTAAGAAGGTATTTGGATCATTCTATATTATCACTCAAGACTATATAATCCTATAGGACGAGTTTAATTTGGATCTTCAGACGGCATAACATTCATATGAACTATGAAGATGCAGCTAGAACAAATTTAAGTCTTTGTTTATAGTATACAATGCATAACAATAACTGCAGCTATAGTTTTCACAAGCTTAAAATTCACAACGTCCTTTCGAAAAAACAGTATGAGTTATTGTAGTACGTTAATCCAATTTCTATTTACCTGAGCATCAAGAGCACTTTGTCTTAGGAGCTCACATGTAACCTGCCGCTCCTTTAGCTCCTGGCGGAGCTCTGCATTGCTTGCCTCAAGCAATGATATTTTGTGCTGGAGAAGCTGCAGTAACAATCATTAGCGACTTAACACTATTTCTTGAACTAAGCAGCATCAATTAAATCTTGTACCTGAAGTTCCTCAAGCGGTGCACCTCCACCACGACAAAAAAGCAGTTCGGATTGCAGTTGTTCCAGTTGACTACGCATTCTTTGCATTTCAGCAGCCACCGGATCACGGTTTATCTATAATATCAGAAGTGTAGTCAGATCCATCGAAGAGCCATATTAAACTATCAACTTGTTTATGCATAAGAAATAACATACCATTGCTTTGTTCTGGATATTGCGTGCACGATTGGCATATTTAAGAGTATTAATAGTCTCTTCAGCATTTGAATCAGCAGGACTAATGCAAGCTAAACACAAATATAATCAATATCAGATTAGTCACATAAAAAAGACAAAAAGAAAACTGTTGTTGCAACCAAAAATGTGGCATCTTGGAAATTCTCACCTATCATCACTGTTTTGCTGTTACCACCAAGAGAATCCTGCAAAACAGCCAGCAGCAAAAAACCAAAAGTTGTATTTCACTTAAGGGGTATACATATACATATTTTTACATGGGTCTACATGCACTTAAATATACTAAAAGGAAAATTGGATAAAAAGCCCAATGTGTGAACTCGAATGTTGGAATGCTTGTGACTTCTAAGTTTATTGAAGTCTGTTAAGCAACATATTTTACATTTAATTATAGCAGATGTGATGGAGATGACATATCATAGGCAAACACAAACAAATGGCCTTTAATCTACTCTTCCCTAGTATTCAATTAAAGGAAGGAAAAATCTGAATTTAAAATAAATAAACCTTAGGTGAACACTTATATTGTTCACTTTGTAATCAACAGAAGTACAAAACAAAAAGTTATCATTTCATGCCTGCAACAGACGAGTCAACTTGCTATCACGATATGGGACGTGTCCCCCTTCTTTTCGTTTTCTTTCATCCCCAAGTGCACTAATCACGTTTCCAAGAGCTAGCAGACCCCTATTTATATGGATGCCTGTAGAGCATTGTTAGTAATTAATCACTAAACGTTATTGTTTAGAAATTAGGAAAATTTTTCATCACCTTCTTTTAGTCGAAGTCCATCAGCTCCAGTTCGTTTTGCACGTTCAGAACCAGCAAGATCCACTAGGTGGAACTTTGCAAACAATATGTCATCACCAGCTGCTTCATTGTTAACCATTCCACCATGTGATTCATGACTGACATTCTTTTGTTCCATGTATATTGTGAAAATGGCATGTGAGCGACTACATAAGAAAAACACATAAAAAGATTGATAAAATAGTGAAAATAAAGTTAATATATACATTCACATGGGTACCAGGAGATGAATTCCAGAAAAATTCATATATGAGGTAACAATTTTCTTTTGTTCCTTCATGCTTCTACAGTGAAATTTCGAAAATAAATAAATATTTTCTTTCTTGCTTAAGTGGAATCATGTCCCCAATTTAACCAATCTTGAACCTTCAGCCATGAAAATTGTCATTTTCTCCCCCTTATAATGTGATCAATAATTGAAATTCTAGTCCCTACAACACCAGGTATCATGACAATAGATTACAATATTGGCTGTACAAAAATAGTGATTTTTTGCTAAACATTTAAACTTCATGTGTCTTGGACTATTGGACATGCAATGTCTCATGCCAAATTGCCAACAGTAGGGAGAAATTCTAAGACAAGTATTATGCAGTAGTTAAACCTCATGATGTTTTAGAACTAATTAGTTATATCAAGCATCAAATACTCACAACAAGAGAATGATATGATCATTTTAGTGCACGTAGGAACATCAAACATTTACGAAGCATGAAGGAAAACTCATTGACAATTATAAATTTCAGAAGGATCAATGAAGCAGTACTTAAGTATATTCATCAATTCATAATTAAATATTAGAATTCTTGATAGCATTTATATTTGTCATTCTAGAGTTATGGCACACTAGTTTGTGTGGTTTCAAGAGATATCTGACAATCTAATAGAATATTAGATGCAGCAACAAATATTCACTTAAATGTTAAAAGCATGTTTTTCTCTACCATCAATTCATACTCGTATATCTGACATTGGTATGGGGTCTTATACCCTGCCTTGTGTGTACAAAATAACACTCTGTCTTCTTCACGCCAGTAAAACCAAAGACTGCTAATGAAATCATACAAGTTGGAACCAATGCACAAAATGACAATACTTGGTTAGAAGGTTAGCTGATGAAATCCAACCTTGATTGACTATTCATATTCGTACTTCCAGTAGCACGAGAAATGGATCCACGAGTTAAATATGATGCCATCTCCTCCTTTGATCTGACTTCAGCTTCGGTAACACCTGCAAGTGTTATCCCACCAGCTGCTGTCTCTCTGATTTGAATGGGAGCTCTAGACAAGGTTGGCTTGGCTATTGATGCAACCTCAGTTCTCATAGCAGCATGAGATTGTGGGTCTAACAAATCAAAGACTTCCTCCTTAAAAATCTGCCCATGTAAAACCAAGTTCAAGAAACAATTTAGTGACACAAAAAATACTTTATTTTCTAGTTCAAGGGAGAATCTAATGAGGTGCAACAAATCCCAATATCAAAATAAGGAAGATAAAAGGAATAAGCTGCAGTTTGTAATTAGTAGACAAACCCTTGGACTTTAAAGGTTACATTAACTTAGTTATGGAAGAAAACTATTATGGTAAAGAAAAAGATTCTCTGACACACCTCAATAAAAGATACTCTAACTAGAAATTCTGTTCTGTCCTTCAGAGCATCAATTTTTGTAAATATCGTGTCCATTACTTCTGGTATAATCCCCCCACAGTTACCTTCGCCCGTATAGTTAGTTCCCATCGTGTAGGTCTTCCCTGAACCCGTCTGTAAATGAAACAATGGGCTTATATATCAGAAGAGAGAACAAAAGTAAACAATAATAGTAATGGAAAACGAGTGATGGCAGCATTAAGATAAGAATGAAGTACCTGCCCATATGCAAGGACGGTGGCGTTGTATCCATGAAATAGGGCATCAATCAAAGGAAGAACACATTCCTTGAAAATGGAGTAGGGAGACCCTGAACTCCCATAAACATGATCAAACGTAAATGCATGAGATCCAATTTGAACCTGTAACCCACAGGGAGAATAACCAGCAATTTGTGATGTTATCATAACCAAAAATCTATAAATTATTTCTTAAACAGACTAAAATTACTCTCGTCGATAGAATCCCAAAGGAAAATCCAGAATAAGGATTTACATAAGTAGCAGCGGAAACCACCATTTCAAAGGAAAATGGCTAAAACATTCCAAGAAGAGCAACAGCAACAGCAGACCCATGAGAAGGATGACGAGAAGGAGATCTCCTATAGAGACGATTCAGGGCAAACAGAGAATTATCACGAAACCCCTCAAACGCGAATAAAACTTGCGAACCAACACGTGGTACCTGTTCCATTCGTGCGATGAGAAAGAACAACAAAACAAAAACCGGAGCCCGAGAACGTAAAGCTCAAAGTTCGCCAGATCAGAACCTGGGGCTCCCCGGGAACGACGGTGACGCAGTCGGTACACCCTATGAGGAGCTCCGTCGTGATAAGCGGCCGAACATTGACGGCCACCTTGACGCATTCCTTGTTCGGCGCCTTGGCCTCCTCCGGGCTCTCCATCACCAGCTCTCTCGGCAGCACCGCGAGCCCAGAAACCGCAGCAATCCTCGACACTCAAAGGAGAAACGATTGGGAGGATTCGATCATAGATCGGAAGGAGGGGGGGAAGGGATCACCACCTTTAGAGGAATATGCGGGAAGAATGGATCGAAACTAGGGTTGGAGTTTCGCCGATTCGCCGCTCTTCTCTTCGCTCGTCTTCGCGATGGGAGAAAGCGAAATGGAAGAGCGCCCGCTCGGGGAATTCGAAAAATAGGGTGTCACGTGACCCGGGCCCCCGATCTGAGAGGGTCTCACGTGAGATCCCGACCCCTATTTATTGATGTGTCGAAGCGTTGAATGACAACAATGCCCCTAACATGAACAAGGCCTCTATTTGTCGATCCGATGAAACCGGTAAAGTGACGAGGTTGCCCTTATCCTGAACTAAATGTATCATGTGCTTTTTGTCTTTTTCTGCGAGATAACGGGCATTGTCCTCCTCGGATTCAAATTCAAACTGCGTGAACTGACAATAACGCCTCTAAAGTAGGCCGATCCGCCGAAATATAGTCTTGCATCAAAATTCGTGCTCGTCAACGAATTAGATGACTCGATGCATGAATTAAAAGACCAGGCACGAATCTTGAGACGAGCGATGTGATCTGTCCATGGGCCGACCAATAATTGCAACACAATATTGTTATAGGTGTCATGTAATGCAATAATTTGGTCGATGTACGTCTATTGGTGTAAGAAATAATGGAAATTATAATCAAATCATCACGTCCACATATTTATTTTTCGAGCATTAGACCCAAAAATATTATTTTTGAGATCTTTTTCAATAATCTTGATAGATCAATGTAAGATCAAGTCTTAAATATATATATATAATACAAGCAAATTTAGGATCAGCCAAACTATTACCGCCATTTTATATGATGTCACTTTTTATCGACTAGATTGATACATAGGAATGTTGTGTATTTATGCTTTCCCGATAAATACATCATCCCTCTTCATAGTCATCCTATGCACTGAAATGTCCTTTTAGGATCAATATTAATGCTACAAAATTATTGCATAAGATAGTCTACATGATGGACGTCTATTAAACTATCTCGTAGAATCTAATGTGCATGATTATTTACCTCTCTTGTTATTGGAGTTGAGGAGTTCGAGCGGGGCCACTGTTCAGAAGCCGCAAAAGCTGAGCAATGGTTGGACCCCGAAAACCTTCTTCGCACCCTTCGCGACCGTTCGATCTACCGTTCATTCAGAAACAAACGGCTAATTATACATATAAATGAATGCACACAATATGTAGCAACTTACACGATTTTTTGTAGCTAATTCTCGCAATCAATTTGATACAACCAATCAACAGCTAATAATACTAAATATTATATTATATATATATATATATATATCTTTTTACTCGAGAAAAGGACAAATAGATCCCACCACTGACGGATGCTAATAATACTATATATAAATATATATATATATATATATATAATATCTTTTTACTGGGGAAAAGGACAAGTGGAGCCCACCACTGCGTGCGCCGCCCGATCGGCGGCGACAGAGGCGAAGAGGAGAGGTCCGAGATCTGCGGACGATTAGGCCGATGCCGGCGGGGCGGCGAACCGGGCGGAGAAGTCGCGGTAGCCCGCGTAGTCCCCTTCTGGGCTCCCGCCGTGGCCCTCGTCGAAGTTGAGGGCGTAGCTGAGGGGGTCGTACTGGAACTTCGCCGACCCCATCCTCCAGCTTCCGCCGCCGCCACCGCTGTGCCGGTTGCGGTTGAAGCGGCGGATGAAGGTCTTCCACCGCGGACCCGCCACCAGCTCCGACCACTCCCGCACCTTCATCACCGCCCCCACCACCCGTCTCCACCACCGGCGGTCGTCTCCCGCGCTACCTCCGCCGCCGCCAGCGTGGATCCGCTGCCACGACTCAGATGAGGAGGAGGAGGAGGAGCGGGGCGCCGACCAGATGCAGCAGCAGCAGAAGCGTCGGCGGGAGAACATCGCGTCCACGGAGGTCGATTGGTCGTCGGTGGCCTCCAGAGGGATCGCCGTCGACTCCATGGACGATCAGATCAGATCAGATCAGATCGACTGGATTTACCAAGTATCGGTGGAGAGGAACCGATCAACGGGAACTAAGGATGGGATTCGAAGGGCATGAGAGGAAGAGGAAGAAGGAGAGGTAGGTTTTCTTGATGGAGAAACCCTAACCATTAGCTTCTCTTCTTCGTCATCAGCCACCTCGTGATGAGAGCGACAAAGGCAGGGCGGGTTGAACTTTATTAATAATGTTTCCATATTAACTTTAATGATAATAACAATGAAGTATAATTAGTAATAATTACAATTAATTATTCTGCCATCTCTGTCCAGGAGACCATAACAGCTCATTCTTGGGAATCCGACTGCACCAGATCCACATCACCCCTGGCGACTTCCAGGGTTGGTTCGGTAGGCATAGCAGCAACTGTACTGGCAGAAGGCAGGGAACACGTGTCCAAATACAAGAAGAGACCATAGGGACACATCATCCAGAAAGGTTTCGAGGGTGATTCATCATCCTAGACAGTCCAATACATGAGATTGTCATGGAATGACAGCCTTCTTCTTCGAGTTATACATACATTGTTTAAGATGCCACAAAAATATATTTCACTTGATGCTGAAGAAAGTAAGAGGCAATTATTGTTGTGTCAAGGTCACAGCAAACCCAGCAACCACATTCCAGCTGCCAGGTTTGCAGCAACAGTTCAGAAACAGATTAGAACATCTGGATAGATGTAGGTATCACTGCACTGCTGCTCTGCAACATTGTTCACAGTTGGGGAAGATACAGCTCCCCAAAATTATGTTCAATGTGGGCCAACTTTTGACACCTTTGGCATTTGTTTCATGACAACTTTGTCCATGACCATGGATAACACTGATGTCTTTCTTTTAAGGTTGCTTTCAAGCAACTGCTATTAGCAAACACAATCAATGGAACTAAAACTATATGGATTGAGTGCTTCTGAGGCAACAGCAGTGTCTGGCTGCCTATTGCTTGATTCCCACAGGATTCCAACCACTCTCCTGCAAGCAGACCTCTTCAAGGGGAAGGGAAACCAAATATATTCCAACTTATGGAGCAGCAGAAAATTCCTTTCCATGCTTTTGGTTGCACGTCACCAAATATATTGACTGTCTCTCCTCCCTCCCTTTCTCTCAGATTAATATATTCCAACAAATTGATACATCAGAAACTCCAGCTCTAATTGCTCTTCCATACCAATCCGATATTGCTTGTAATTTCTACCAAAGAGGGACAAATATCATGGAAATCACATTTGCTTGTTCTTTAAGAACTACTGATAGAGAAGGCTTTTTTATTACAGATCCATCAATCTGACCTCCCTTCACGTAGGGTTGTTATTATACAACTGTTAGCTGATTTCTTCCCATTAAAATCACGCTTTCCTCCCATTAAAAATGTCTAGAACTTCTATACTTGCATCAGGAACCTTCATATCAGCGGAAACGCTGATAAAGTGTTCGGAGATCCCTGCAGTGGATGCAGGTCCATGGAGACACTGGAGGGTCCAAGCAGTAAGAGTGTACCCACTGAGATTGGCAGATGCAGCAGCAAAGAAGAAGATCTTCTGGTTCACGGTTGTGGCATTCAGAACAAACTGGATCCATGGGCATCTGAATCAACAAGAGAATGGTAGATTAAATATAAGAAATCTGTATCAAGGTAAAATGAACTGAAAATTTATCTGCTGATATATCAATTTCAGAATGAAGTGCATCACAGTGTACTGTGTAGGCTTGGAAGAACAGTGCGATGAAAATGATCACTCAATGTTGTGGATTGTCATGCAGAAAGAAGAAAAGTGAAAAACAAAGCTTACTGAGGCTCTGGCACTGTCATTTCCATTGTTGGAGACCATAATAATGTCTATGTTCGAAGATTCAGATGGGATGGTTTGAGAATATATCTTCTGATCAGTAGAGGTGTCCATCTTTCTCATGCTTGTAAAACTGGACTTGCATAGAGGGCATGACGAAATCTTGCCTCTTGAAGCCTAAAACACAATAATTATGAGACCGAAAACACACCATCCACATAGAAACCAAAATAAAGACATACTACCAAACAATGCATATTAACCATATATCATGGCACATTTTATTTCTCATTATAACAAATTTATCAGTTAGTCCTAGAAAAGTATGCACTAGCAGCATTAATTGAAAGAAAGTGATCCATGTTTTGACTTTATTGGTGCAAACATGGAGGATTGCGAGGAATTATTCATTTTGGATGAGCCCCACACGATTTTGCCCTTCGGATGGGCCCAAAAGATGACGTTGAAAGTAGAGGTGACTTTGTCTTCTATATTTGTCAAAAGTATAAAAAAAGTTAGCAAAGAAACTGCTTTAATAAATATTATTTCTTTAGACATCCAAACACATCCAAAAGGACCACAACCAAAAAAAGGTTGATTGTTAGGTGTAGCAAATCAAGGGTTACTTGTGGTTGTAGAAACACGATATATGCAATTATTATGATAAATGTGCAAGAAAATTTTAAATGCTTAGAAAAGTTTACAACTACATACCAAACAGTCAACCCATCCTTGAATGCAGGAGTAGCAGAAGCGATGCCCACAAGGTAAAACAGCCCTTGTCGTGCTAAACTCTGTCCAGCATATAACACACGATAATTCTGCTTGCTTGTAGGCACCTGCTTCATAAAGATTTTCACCTTCTTTATGGTGTTCATTATCATTCCTTGCATTTTCTGAAGAACCAAGCATTTTACCTATACATTCAAAATTCTCATTATCTGAAAATATTCCATTGTCAGATAGAATATTGTCATTCCTAAGCTCTTCTACACCATCCTGTTCAAGCCCTTCTATTCCACTTCCCTCATGATCAGAAAGCATAAAGTCCGTAGTTTTTCCTTGAGATGATGATCCAAGCCTCCTTCTCGAAGTATTTTCACAGGTTGAATCAAGATCAATGATTTCAACCTGACTGCTAAATTTCTTTACAGAAGTTCCTTGCTTCTGGCCCAAACTCACATAATTCAAAAGATTACAGTATGCTTTCTTCTTAAGGCGATTACTTCTTCGAGTTGGTTTACAAGTAACATCTTGAGTAGCATCAAACAGGTTTCTCTTCTTGCTTGATGAGCACACTTTTGGGAATGTACTAGACTCCCTACACTGCATGTAATCGGATAAACATGGTTATGCCAAGACAAAATAGAATTGTTGTAATTCATGACAATTGACATAACCAAATTTTGTTTAAATAGAAAGAAGTTGAAACTAACAAGGAAACAAAAAAACTAAGAGAAATAAGTGCACACAACTACAACTTAGTTTAGGGAATGTAAATGCAAACATAAGCTACTAAAAGGATCATAGAGCACTAGCTAAGTCAAGTTTATCCATATTTGGACATTTCTGATAATGCACCTATTAATGACAAGCTGTAGAAGCATATTCTGAACTTTTGTAAAATTCTTATCAGCCACTAGCAATGGCTCATATTTAAAGATGTTGAGAAATTGTTACAATATTTGATTGGAAGATATTGTAGCAATTGTTGCCCTTTCAGACAACAGTTGGAACAGCTTTATGTATTCATTCCAGAAGCAAGGGGTTGTGTCCATGCCTAATAACTGGGAGCACTGTACACATGTATTTTAGAGTAAACCACTCTCTTATCATTTGTGGCAGGCAGCAAATTGCCAACATAAGGTATAGGTTGTTTGACTACTTATACTGTCCACCAAATTTATTTTGAGTGTGTATACAATGCATCATTTATTTTTTTTAAACAAAAGTTCTGTGTATCCTCTTATTTGATTATGTAGATATCACATAATCTTATCAGTAAAGGAATTTCTTCGAAATTCTTTGAGTTCTACAGTATCTTTAAAAAAGTGAATTAGAATTCTGGAGTAAAGCAAAATACAAAGAAACTATAAATGTATTTCATGTGATGACAACTCAACAACAGAGGTACATCATAAACGCATAGAACACTACTTGGACAAAGATTGAGTTACTAGGACCATGCAAATGCACAAGTTCACAACTTACTTTGTGTAATAATTGTGAGTCAGACCAATCCAGATAACTTGCATCAATTTCTACTATGTTTCTGCAATTCAATGCACTGAAATTATCAGATAACATGCATCGTTCTGCGGATATGATGGTTTTTCCTTTTCCAGAAGTATCCAAAGCGGCAGGCATTTCCCAAGTTATGGTTCCAGTTTCTTGTCCACTGCAAAGAACCAAGTGACAGAAAAATAAGTATACAATTGATGTTAAATGCCTGAGACATATTGTAGATATACGGAGTGAAAAAGAATGTCCAAAGTGAAAACCATTCAAATCCAATTAAATCTACAGATAAGTGAAAAAAGATTAATTATTCATATCATTCTAAAAAATCCATTGAAGAAACAATTCAAAGAGATTTAGAACTTAAAAAAAAGAAACAGGGTACAAAATATTTTTCAGTTATATGATATCAATCCCGATGCTTGCTCCATGTTCAGGCTACCCTACATCACATATAGTGTTGGAATGGTAGAAACATTGGTAATGGATATGTGTCATATATTTTGTACATGCAGAATATCAGGCACAAGTATAGGCATGTAACGAACATTGGAATTGACAAGAATTGAATGCCATAATCAATGAAGCATACAGCAGATATTATTGTGCCAATCCTCGATCAACACCCAACTAAGGCAATCCTTAGTTGATCGTCTAATACAGAACATGAACCATGTTACACAATTGATAATTTCATAAATTAAAACCTCATTACGTAAAGTTGTATGTTGTCGAACTCCAAAGACAAGAACATATGGAATATTTCTTGTCTCCAAGTCTCATTTAGCACAGGGAGAACGTACAATTTTATATGGAAGCCCGTAAACTATTTGTCACAATTTCTCATCATCCTGACTTAAAAATCAATTTATAATTCACTAGAGATCTATACTATTTCATACTTTGCAAGTCAATTGTCTACACTGGATTATCAAGAACAAAGAATAGTGGGATACTCCACAGAATGCAACTCAAGGTTCTATTAAGTACATCTTACGGATAATATGGTCGGCGATGGCCCTACATAGTGGAAATTAGTACACACCAGATTAATCCACATATCATGGCAAAGCAAAAAGATAAACAAAAGGCACCTCTGTGCGGCATAGGGATCTTCAGGAAGCCGCTTCCTTTCCTTTAAGCAATCCTCAAACCAACGGTGACTAATTATATGTGCTCCAGTTCTTCTCGCCATGTCATACTTCTTACCTTCGAACTGCCAACACACCTACATTCATATCGAAGTACTGTCCACATATCATTCTCCAATCAAACAATTTGCAACCACCAGCACGATTAACATAAGAATCCACAAACAAACAGGTGGAGATACACACCAGATGTGTAGTTGATTTCGTCATAGCTCCGGTGTAACTAGCTCCAGTTTGGGCTATAAGCTTGATGAGCTTAAACCGCTCCGTTCCGTGGTATCCACTGACTGTGGCGACAACCGATTCCATACCTTGAATCGGCCGAATCCCATTACCTGAAAACAAAGAAACCCTTGCAACGATCACAAAAGAAGGGAAAAATCATAAAAAATCGAACGAGATCAGATCGCAGATGAAAAACTGGAAATGTTGCCAAAAGGGTTTCTCATCGGATCTCTCAACAAAGGAATAGAGAAGACATATAGGACCTTGGAATCGACCGGAAAAATCGTCTTCTCGGGGTCCGCCGGATTCCATGGCGCTCTCTTTCGGCCTCGACGACGAGGGAAGGGTTTCAATTTTGGGCGTTTGAAATATTGGTGCGGGCGCTTCTGCTGCTCCGCGGCACATAATACCGCCCCTTCCCCAAGCGCGGCAATGGAAATCTTATAACGCGGTTCGAAATAACGTTCCGTCATATGCTCGTAACAGAATCCCACCCGTTACGTTATATTCTCGTAACAGAAAAGGATCCTTGAAGCCCATGAACTGATGCTGGGCCAATATGGGCCGTTGAGTTTGTTGGAGTGAATTGGGCCCAATAGCCTCAGCCGATGATTTGATCACAACCGTCCAATATATAGATCAGTATCGAAAAAGGAAAAAAAATATAGACCTTTATCAATCTGTATTTAACTTTTTATTTTTATTTTTATGATATCGTATAATACAAGTCAGCATATACCGATGTATCTATCCGTCGTAAAAACCTGTATCGGATCATTTGTATTTTTCTTGGATACTCTACACGAGAATCTATAGATTGCCGAGAAACATCAATTTTCCCATGCAACAAAAATAAAAATTGCTTGTTCTTTTTGCAGATCAACATCCAATCTTGAAACATAAGATGACATAAATTTAAGGAGCAACCCAGAAAAACCAAATCAACACACATTTTGAAAATTGTTGACTGTTGAATAAAATACAGAATTCAGAATGCATCAACTCTGCTGGTTGACCAAAATATGAATGCCTACCAAAATAATAATAATGTCTATGTGCGGGTGACCCCATCTGTTCTTGACATAAAACATACAGATGCCCTCCAGTAGTAAGGAGATATCTCCAATGACAACTACTCACTAAATGGGGGAAGAATCATGCTGGAGTTCTGTTTTCATCTTGTGAATCTTACATGTCAATCAACCTAAAAAGAGAACAGGATTTTCTCTAAAATTTGTACACCAATTTGAATACTAGTAGCTGGCACCGTAAAAGCAAAAGAGAAATGAAGATCTTCCCATGACTCTGATGTTCATATATCGGCATGGTCAGAAAATATCAGCAGTCAATCTTCGTGTTCCTCTTCACCTTCAGAATCTATAATGAAAAGAAAAATTCAAGAAACATCATACAGTGGCAGTGATGGGGTTGTATAATGCAGTTAAATAAATTTGAGTTCTATTAAAGATGGTAGGTAATCAGTATGCCGAACAACAGAAATTTTGTAATTGCAGTACCAAAATCTTTAAGCCTAACATCTATCTTGGATAGACCACTAGAAGTTTCACATTGCAGTAGAAACATGTTGGCCATCCATATGCAGAAGTTGGACAATACTTACCAGATCGAACATCGTCCCCAACATGGCCTCTAGACTGGATTTGTTTTACAAGCATCCGATAGATCAATACCCACCAATAGATGTGAAGAACAAGCAGCGAGAATAGAAGGGTGTTGAACACATAATAATATATAGGTCCTTCAAATTTGTGCTTTGCCTTGTCCAAAGTCAAGAGGACTTCGTAACTGCCAGATAGAAGGTAAAAGAATCACCAAGTTATATTTTAGTATTCCAACTCAAGTGAACAACCCTACAAAAACAGAACTGATGCATTAAACTTAGTCTTGTGCTTAGTTTCTTTTTGCTCATTACGGTTCCAGAATTCTGCAATCTGCTAGTAAGCATGCAAAAGCAATTTATAAGCTATTGGCTTTAATTTGTTCATAGATTTATAACACAGACTGTAAAACTATTTACCTTATTCAGCAAAATTAACATGATTGAAATATAAAAGTGAATATAGAACTGTGATGCAAAAACATGGCTCTGCCAGAAAATACATGCTTCACCTTCACAAATGTTTGAGAGATGTATTGGAAGTTGGAAAACCATGCGATTTCACTTAGATGATATGACTACTGATCCTACTCTCAAAAGGAAGAGAAAGGGGGATAATAATAACCTAAAGGACCTTCCAAATATATTAATCATCTAAAATTGCATGTTGTCTATTTCTTGTCAACAACCTGCATCCCCAAATCTCTGTGGTATGACCAAAGTACAACTTTATGACATGTTCATTTAAAGTTCAATTCCACATAAAAGAACCATTATAAGCAAAATAGCAAATGCTACAATCCATGGATGATATATTTCAATACTGTGGTGTTTGGAAGTCCAACTGGATCAACAGTGAATTTAGATTAAATTTATAAATTACCATTAGTCATACACCAGATATGAAACTTCAGCCTTTTAAAACCTTCTTTCATCACTGTTTTCAAGATCTTCAAAGTGAACACTCAGCTTTTATAAAGAAATTTAGCAGAGGATCCAAAAGAAACCCCCCAAAAAAGTCAAATTTGTTTCAACATGAAGTTCTGGATTCATGACATCTAAAATCACTTTGCAAATAGAAGCACTTCCCGAACTTCCTATTAGAAGATTCTAGAAATGCTTCTAATTTCTTCCAGGATGGAAAAACAAAGAATATACATTTCTATCATCAATGTTTATTGTGATGAAAAAGAGAAATGCTCAACAATATGGCAACTCATGGTCTCTATAGACAAGGTTTTCAAATATCAGCAGACAGCAGCATAGAGGATTTCAGTATGTTGCTGGAATGGTATGATTGGCATGCCTCTGTGCAGGCCAAAACATGTCAAAAGAATTGGCCTGACACAGTAAAGAGAGCCCATGCCTGCAAGCATGGCATGAAACTGAGGACAACCTCCTGTGCCAACTGAAACTTCAATCCTATTCATCAATGATACCTTGCAAAACAATGTATAAGCCTGAACAATTTCAGCTACATGTAATTCTCTACTATGTATGGATGGGACACTCAAATCTTTAATATTTCAGTCATGTGCTTAAACAAAAGTTCAGCAAGCTAAGATGTAGCATGAATTAAATGATTACAAGAACCATCATAATCTTAGTTTTCCTCTAACAAAGGTCGGACTCCTGATATAAAACAAGTGAAACAAATACACGATTGACAACTAGGGAAACCAACATAGATGTTCTATAATGTAATTACAAAGTCATAATGCAACAATATTCAGAATAATTGATAATAATAATAAGCCAACCAAAGACTTGAATTCAGCATAAGATACTTACCTCGTACTTCGGAGTATCCAGAATGGGTAGTATGTAAGACGAAGTAAGACCCATGATGCAACAAACAGAAGAAATGAAGCATTAGCAAGCCATTCAGAACCGCTATACTTAGACATCTTCCCTACTTCCAGAAACACATCACTTGCATCATGTATGGCTAAAACAATTGAACCAACACGAGCGAACCTGTTTAAAAAGAAAAACAAAAGATAGAGGAAACATGTAGTTAGATACCTCAGTTGTCAAATGGATTCGCTACAGGAAAATTATCATCCAAACATGTGCCCCAATGGGTTTTTTTTTAATGGAGAATTACTAAAAATCTACACAGAGTTGCTGATTGAATTGCCAATTTCAGAGGTTTAACAGACTTTGTAATTCAAAGTACAAACTCAGGAGTTCCTAGAGATTTTGATGGCATTTTGAACTCTGACTGCTTGAGAGCTTCTTGTAATCTTGCTGTTTTCTTTTCCAAAAAGAATCGTAACTTTTTTTCTAACCTTGATACAACCGCTAGATTTTGTGATAAATTCTAAACTATGACAAGCTTAGCAAGATGGAATTATTTAAGGGCTGTAATCAGTGAGTAGAAAATTTACCTTAGCAACTGCAGATTAACCTCATTCAACTAGGGAACAACCCAACAACATTTGCATGGACCTAATAGAAGACTGGAATAAGTAAATGACAAGCTCTGATATCGGGAGCAAGATCATCTCAATGGCACAAGTAAGCCAATGAACCAACCAAATGCAGCTCCCAATCAATGAATAAATATAAAGAAGAGGTAACATTTTAGGGTTTAATAGTCACACCTAGGAGAAACCATTCTATAGAATAGTAGTTTACTTTATGATGTGATTTGTGGCTTTGATTCATTTATTTATAAAACTCAACCTCATATAAGAGTTGGTACAGAAAATACCATGCCTCCACTATTTTTGATGCTCTGAAAGAAAAAAAAAACTAGCTCATACTGTTGGGCTTTCAAGTTTGGAACAAAAACTGTCATCAGTGGAATTTAAGAATTGAAAATAATAGTCACAGAAAAATCCAGTATAGACACAACATAAATGCAAATTAAACAAAAAATATGGATTTTTCCAAAATCATCTAGCACTCTCTAAGTGCTGCACCATCTTAATTCTAGGATGCTATCAACTTTCTCCACTTGACAAAACTTGAATCTAATCAGCAAGAGTAATTTTTTTACTAAAATTTTGGGGAAATCTCACCTGATATAGCAAGTTATTAGAGTTCACATGGTAGTACGAATATAGGATCAACCATATCATCAGAACAATTACTATGGTTGAATTAAATGAAACAAATTGTGTTCAGCCTATCATGGCCAAACATTCCTAGCTTTACTCCGCTTTAATTCCATCTATTTTCTAAATTTCTTCTTTAATTGGCATTTCATAACTCGATAGTTATATTGTCGAGCTGATTGATGTACATATAAATGATTGACTGAACTCTTTTATTCTTATTTTCTTAATTTTGTTAGTCTAATAACTTGATAGTGTATCAAGCTATGATTACGACTGGCATTTTGACATTCTTTGCCATAATCCTGTTGGCATAACTTTCTTTGGTATTTGGAATGGGTCCACTATCACTTTCCTTTTACTTCTTACCAGTATTTTGTCAATGACTGCATTCAATCACAAGTACTTTGACCATTCAGGCCGCCAGCATTACCCTATGGCTTATATAATGCTTGCTTGCAAGAACTGGTTGTTGATAACTTGATGCAACAATCATGAAGTAATTATAATACTGCTCAGATTCTTTATCTTATATATGTAGTGTCTGGTTGCCCGCCAAGGCTAATGTCTGATAATTATAATGCTGCTCAGATTCTTTATCTTCTATATGTAATGTCTGGTTGCCCGCCAACCATACATGAATTAATGCATTAAGAGCTGAGCTCATGCTAGCATGTGCTAGTTTACAAGCCAGATCTCAACATATTT